TGTGCCTTGCCCTCAATACCAAACCATTTAGGGCATTCCATTAAAAAGCTCCTTTTTCTTTCTTGAGCTACCAGATGTGTCTTATAGAAATATCTACAAAATGTTCTTTATCAATTATCCCACCAACTCACTTGAGCTTTCAGAGACAACTGAAATGTCTCACAAATAAATACAAATATAAAAAATAAAATGCATGATCCATGAAAAGCCTGAGCTCAATCTGGTACTTAGTACTCATTGTCGTTAATACAAAAATTCTGGAGTTATCTTCAGAACATCCAGATATTTTCTTTTGGCAGTACTAGGCAGTCATGAAAGTTCTGATATTCTGTAAAGGAAAAAATACACGATTTTCCCGAAAAAAAGAACGTCAGGGGCTCAAAGGTCCAAAGTATACACTATCCTAGTGTTTCTTCTATATATTGACCAAAATATATAATACCTCCTATTTAAGTTCAGGCTCTCCCTGCTTCTCAAATGTGGGCTAAGATAAATTTTGTTTGGTTTAATTTCCAAACCATTGTGGACTGATCATTCTGTAACATACAATCAAAATGTTATGGCAATATCAAATTATTATAAACAAACATAAGTGTTTACTCTCAATTTCTCTACTAATCTTGTTGCAAAGTAGTAATGAATGTAAGATTAGCACCAAAACCAGACCACACAGAATAACACTACTTTGTACATCTTAAATGGTTTGGGATGAAAATAAAGGTCTGAGTCCATACGTACAAGTCCTTTATTAACATGGATTGTGCCCCGTAGAACAGAAGATGCAGGATGAGGCTAGAGCACTCAGTTGTGTTGTGAAAAGTTTGAAAAAGTAGTTTTTGTTTTCATTTTGTCTGTTTAAAATCTCTATAACAAATGTTTTCTCCTAATTATATAATTATAATATTCATGCATATTAAAATTATCCTGAAATATTATTTTAGGATTCAGTTCTTCCTAATAGTGATATACATAATCTTTCCATTTTCACTTATTTGTCCCTCTTGTTCACTTCATTTTGGGTCATTTCAAGACTTCAAACACTCAATAGATGCGTATAACATACCTTCTCAGTCAATCACATACCATAAGACTTGGGAAGAAAAATCCTTATGCTTAACATCTCTGTCAAATTCATTATGTTCAGAAACGCCTTTACCCTTTCTCCTGATTGTTAGTTTTGGTTTCTGCAAATTCTTTTTACTTGTAGCATTTGTTGCTTGACTCGTAGAAAAAAATGTTTATGTCATATTTATTCCCAGATATGATTTATTTGATAATAGTGCTTCTCATATCTGGCTTCTATCTGAATGTGACCTTGTTTTAATTTAGAATAGCATTTCTAGCTCTTTATACAATTCTTTTTGTATAAGAAAGGCTTCTCTCTCTGAGACTTTTCCCAGAGGACTTACAGTTTGTATAAACTTTTCCTTATGTATATTTTGATTGAATTTCTTTTTCTTTGTGTATTTTAATCTCTTCTAGTGGACATAAAGCTGAAGTCTGTATGGAAGAAATCATGCCAGAACAAAATATGCAGATTTCTAACATCAAGTGGCATTTTGTGATTTGACTTCGTTTGAAAAATAAAGACAATGCTCTGACATTTCTGCAAAATAAACAGTGCAACCATTTAACATCCAAGCTACAGGGTCTAGAATTTTATTAAATACCATATCTTACTACCACTTTCTTTTCTGTGGTAATTTGAGATTTGCTTCTTTTCAACAAATAATAATATGCATAAGCCTTTGAAAATGATGTATTCATGTTTAAATTTTTACAATTGGATTTACAACTTATTTAGAGATTTAGAGTTATGATTTAATAATAGGGGGAAATAAATTTCCTCTGCTGTATATTTATAATGACTTGTGTTTAAACAAAATGTTTAAAATCTTTAAACAGTCCTAGGAGAGAGTTTTGTTTTGTTCTGTTCTGTTTTTTATTGAAGTATAGTTGATTAACAATATTAGTTTCAGGTGTGCAATGTAGTGATTCAATATTTTTAAAGATTATACTCCATTTAAAGTTACTATAACATATTGCCTATATTCTCTGTCCACATAGTGGAAACTATGTGTCTGTGTGTATATATTTATATATGTGTGTTGTAGAGGTGTGGTATTGCCAATATTAATTTGTAAAAGGACTCTAATTGGCTTAAAGGAAATTAAGTGCTTATATAAACACTCAGAAATATAAAAGAAAGTAACCCAAATGAATTTTAGGATCACATGATCTAGAATTACCAGATTAAATGAAATAGATTTAATTTAAATGAATGAAAACAAGTTTCAGTTTGTTGGTTTAATTAATACAGACATTTCTTTAGGGTCATCAACATTAAGTATAATATTTTTATTGTACCTAGGTTTACTAGAAATCAAATAAGATCTTATCCCCATTACAAAATTTGTCAGCAAGAAAAATAACTTGATATGATGAAACTTTTAAGTAAATTAAATAAGAGTTTTAAGCGAACTCTTTAGGAATAATTATGTTTTAAGTATATCTATCGAAAATAGGTCCTCCAGATTTTTTTTTTTGTAACTTGAAACTGCTAAATTAAGTTCAATGATGGCAATTCATTGAATATTCAGATCATTTCCAAATAAGATACTGAAATATTAATTACCGAACATAGGTTTCCTTTTACAGAGAAACTAAAGATATTTAGGACTATTGATAAATATGTAATATCGTATACTAACGCATATACGTGGAACCTAGAAAAATGGTACAGATGAACCAGTTTGCAGGGCAGAAATAGAGACACAGATGTAGAGAACAAATGTATGGACACCAAGGGGGGAAAGTGGCGCGGGGGTAGTGGGGGTGGTGGTGGGATGAACTGGGAGATTGGGATTGACATGTATACACTGATGTGTATAAAATAGATAACTAATAAGAACCTGATGCATAAACAAATAAATAAAATAAAATTCACAATAAATAAATAAATATGTTTGGTGTCACACTGAGACATTTTCTTTAAGGAATCACCTGTTTTTAGAAACTACAAATAGTATTCACAAGTTTGCCTATCTACAAAATGCTAATGTACAAGTTCATAAATTGCTTACTCCTTAGTTTTCACTAGAAACTAAGTTTTTTGAGGTTAAGAATTATAATAATTAAAATATGTAATTAAAACTAGTAAAAATTAATAAGGAAAACATCTTTGTATGGGAAAAAGAAGGTATAAAGAATGGAAATGCGTTTTGTTAAGGGAAAAGAAAGTAATTTTGTCCTAAAGCTGGTTATTCCTAAATGGGAAAGAAAATAAGGGACAAATTAATGTGGATATAGAAAGTTGTAGAAGATTGTGAGGGGAAAAAAAATGAATCTTTAGAAAGCCATTCTATGTGTGGTCAGGAGTGATAAAGATTAGAATCAATTTAATTGAGTAAATTAATTTTATTATGAAAGGTAAAGTGGTACAAAACCTGAATTTGGCTTTCTCTCTATTAAGAAGACAAAGTTTTCTTAAAATATTGATTTGCTTTGGATAACTGACTGCAAAGTTTCTTTACCTTTAACCAGTAATCTGTTACAACTTTTGACATTTGCTTTTGAAATGTTTTATTGTCACTGGTTAAGTAATTAAGTATTGTTCTACTGTGACATACAATCCTATGTGACCAAGAATTTGGAAACCTTTTCGATATTTTTGAAAAACTTCCCAAATATCAAATTCTAATCGAAGTTATTTTGACTTCTAGCTAACTCTAGGATGCTTCAGAGAGGATACCCGAAGCATCTGAGAAAGGGAAATATTAAACAAATTAGGCTTATTTGGTATGTTAAATTACATGGGAAGCATTATCAAATGAGTGCTGATAAACCTTCTTATTTTATATTGTATGGGTAAATGTTATTAATATAGATATACTGGAAATTATATGGAGCTCCTAAAAATCTGGTTATGTCTTAGTAAAATGTTAACAGCCATAATGTTAGTAATTATCTTGAATTGTTGTATGTCACAGCAGTAACCAAGTTTTTTTTGTCAATTGCACTGTAATCAGATCTTCGATCATGTCTTTTTAAGTCCTTTGTCATTTACATATGGTCACTATTTCACTCCCATGCTCTTGCAAAAAATGCTTCATCTTCAAGAGGAGTCATAGAAAGGATTTTTTTGACAGGTGCAGGCTTCTGATAATTTTTAGACCATAGCACTGAACTGGGTAAGAAATTATAAAATTCTAAAGGAAAACTTTGTGGCTTCATAAAACTGTTAACAGAAGATTAAGATCAAGAACCCTGCACGCTTGCATCAATTTTCCAATGATACATCCATTTGGCTGTGAAATTTGTTAACTCATATGTTAATTCATTTAAGTAGATGCCCAGGTGATTCTTATGCCTATTAAAATTTAAGAAGCATTCAATGTAAATATTTCTGAATATATCAAACATTATTATTACTCTTGAATGGATAAATGAATCCAAAGCACCAGAAACTAATAGGAAACTCAACTAAAGGTGCATTCATGAGGCTCAATTCTAAAACACAGTGATGGATTTCACGTTCTGCCCTCTTAACTGAAGTAGTACTGAGTGGCACTTACAAAAAGGGGGCTGACATCAACTTGAAATCTTGGCTTTAATTTCTTGGAGGTCAGAGTCCCTTCTCACAAAAGGGGTAGCATAAACTATCCAGAGTCTTGTCACTCACTTATACAGGGCTAGCCAACTGGGCTAGCTTTGAGGCCATAGCCAAGCTTTTCCACCTCTCCTCTGCATGTCGCCCTCAGCAGGTGTTTCCTGGGATCAAGGCCCCGTCCTAGCAGAGCCTCTGGAAGTGTGGGTGGGGCGGCTCCTCAGTGGGGCGGAGGCTAGCTTCAGGGGTGGGGTCCAGGCACGACCAGGGTGGAGGCTGGCATCAGGGGGGCGGAGCCGAGCCCCAGAGGAATGGTGGGGCGGGGGTGGAGCCGCGGGGCGCTGGTGGGGCGCTGCGGCAGAGGAGCGGGGCGGAGCCGAGCCGCCCAGTCACCAAGCCGCCCGCTAAGGGCGGAGCGAGCACCGCATAACTGGGACTCGGGTCTGATCGCGCAGTTCGCACGGCCTGGTCTGGGGCGGACCCAGGAGGAGAATCCCCCAGCCGCGATCCCCATGGGGCTGTGTTTTCCCTGTCCCACGGAGGCCGCGCCTCCTTCGCCGGACCTGGTAAGTAAGACCGCCTCCCAGCGTCCCCGCGTCCGCCCGCCGGCGCCGCGAGCACCTGTTCCCGGAGGGGCGCGCCGGAGGCCCCGAGCTGCGGCCCTAGGACTGGCCGTTGGAAGCGGCGGCACGGGCCGTGGAGCCCGTCGACGGGGACCTTGGTGGCGGAGATGGTGGCCGTGCTCCGAGGGACCTTGAGGTCCTGCCTGCCGGACCTGGGCTGCTGCCGCCGCGTCGGTGTCTTTCTAAAGGCGGCTCCAGCGTCTCTTTACCTTCAGCCGGGTGGCAGAATTGGCAGTTCGTAGGACGCAGGCGCACGTGGACGGTGCGTTGTGGCGGCCATTCCTGGCGATGCGGTAGATGGAGTTAGGGTGCGAAAAGAAATCCTTCTTTCTCCGGGAACTGAAGTGTTTAATCTTGTAGGAGATGTGCATCTTCCTGTTTGTACCAGCTGTTTAAAGAAGGTGATCAATAAAGTCTCGTATATTTATGCGCTTTATTGGACATTGTATTAATGATTTACCTTTAGTCTTTATCACTTTTAAGGTTTTTTTTTGAAGTATTTTATGTAGTACCGAGTGTACAGTTTGTAAAGTTGCCACGTTTAGCAAATAAAAATATAGGGTGCCCAGTTAACTTTGAAGTTTCAGATAAACAATATATTTAAAAGATACGTAGGTTTGTTCCATGCAATATTTGGGACATACTTGTACTAGAAAGTATTCGTTATTTATCTGGATAATTTCAGATTTAACTAGGTGGTTTGTGGTATAATACATTTATACTTTTTGTAGCTTTCTAATTTTTAACAGCATTTTTACCTTAATAATCCTTACAGGAAGTTGATAACGGAACACCTAAATTCCTCTCTTGTATCTGGCTAAAAATTCGTTGAAGGAAATGAGTTGTTTAGGGAAGTACATTAACTCTTCAGCTATTTGATCATAAATACTAAAAATGACCTGGAAGTTGATATGAGAAAGTTCACCTTGTCTTTCTTGCTACTGTTGCTTTTAAATGTTCTTAATTTTGTTTATCTAGCTATTGATAAAATACCAATCTGCCAGCATTTGTTAAGCCCTTCCTCCTCTCCCCCGCCCCAGATAACCACATTGCTTACTGCTTGAATGTCACTTTATCTTTGAGGCTTTTCTTCACCACCCTACATAAAGTAGATCCTCCACGCTACCATCCACCCATCCTTCCATTTCTTATTGACCATACTTTTCTTTATATTTCCCTGAAGCACTTACTTCAGTCTGACAGATGTATATTTATTTGATTATATGTGACTGTCCTCATTGGAATGTAAATTCCATGTGGGTGGAAACATTTATCTGTATTATTTCACTGCTGTATCTTCAGCATCTAGAAAAGTTCCTGAGGCATGATAGTTGCTCAATAAGTATTTATCCAATGGATGAAATGAATGAATGAATGTATTGTGGTATGGAAAATGGGGGAATTATTAACACAGCTCCCAAGAAAATGCTACTTACTGTCATATATTTACATAATTTATAACTTATTATTATGAATAATATAGATATAGAAAAATAATATTCACGGTTTCCCAACATGGAAGAGTACATCTCATAAATTTCCTCTAGTCCTTCCTGTCCTACTCAGTAAGATTCACTCACTTCATTCATGAACTTCTTCCGAAAATACCAGCCTGCTTCAAACTCCTTTTTTTTTTTTTTTTTTTTTTGCGGTACGCGGGCCTCTGACTGTTGTGGCCTCTCCCGTTGCGGAGCACAGGCTCCGGACGCGCAGGCTCAGCGGCCATGGCTCACGGGCCCAGCCACTCCGCGGCATGTGGGATCTTCCCGGACCGGGGCATGAACCCGTGTCCCCTGCGTTGGCAGGCGGACTCTCAACCACTGCGCCACCAGGGAAGCCCCAAACTCCTTTTTAATTGGCAGTACCAAACCGTGTATTTCCCTGCTTGTATTATTAAATGTCATTTGTTTTATTATTGCCCTGACTAGCTTGTAAGCTCTTTTTTTTTGAAAAAGCAAATAGATTATTTTATAGGCCACTCTGTGTGTGTATATGTATGTGTGTATGAGATATATAATGTATATATATGATATAGATGTAGGTGTATGTCTCATCATGTGCTTATTTGGAGTGTTTTTAATTTTTTTTTAATTTTTATAAATTTATTTATTTTATTTATTTTTGGCTGTGTTGGGTCTTCGTTGCCGTGCGCGGGCTTTCTCTAGTTGCGGCGAGCAGGGGCTACTCTTCGTTGAGGTATGCGGGCTTCTCATTGCGGTGGCTTCTCATTGCAGAGCACCGGCTCTAGGCATGTGGGCTTCAGTAGTTGTGGCATGCAGGTTCAGTAGTTGTGGCACACGGGCTCTAGAGCGCAGGCTCAGTAGTTGTGGTGCACGGGCTTTGTTGCTCCGCGGTGTGTGTGATCTTCCTGGACCAGGGCTTGAACCCATGTCCCCTGCATTGGCAGGCGGATTCTTAACCATGTGCCACCAGGGAAGTCCTTGAAGGTTTATTGATTGGGAGAATGAAATTCAGAAAGTTGAGTATTTTATAAATGATATAAATAATGGCATTCTTAATAGGACATTTGGGGCCAGTACTATTTTTGTAAACTGTTATATTACCTATAAGATAAAAGTATAAAATATCAAGGATAATGTTTAGTTTTGTTTTAAACCATATTTCTTACACATTTTTCCTAGGAAGAAAAAAGAGCAAAGCTTGCAGAGGCTGCAGAAAGAAGACAGAAGGAGGTGAGAGTAAAAATAAAATTCTACCTTAGATAATTAAATTTGCGTTTTGTTCTCTATAGATATCTATTACTAGTAGTATTCTCTAATGAAAATGGTATCTGATATCTTAGAAATTTAAATTAAAGGAAAACATTTTCAAAATGATTTCTGTTTCTATAAATTGGTTTAATGCATTTATGTCATTTAATGTATGAAAATTTCTATACACGTCTTCTGTTATGGGAGATGCCAAGGAAGAATCTTAATAACATTCTTCCTTGAGATGAAATGACTGTGCCTTATAAAACACTGACAGATGTGAAGTAACTTTAGGGGGGAAATGTGTATGGTTGCAAAATACCCAATGAAGAAATCATATGTTGTACGTAAAGCTGTTGTAGAAATAGTCTAATTCTTTGTTACCAAAAATAGACCAACTCCATCCCCTACCCCCCAACTCCAAAGAAAAACCTAAAAGGCAGAAAACAAACAACACCTTTTGGTAACAGGAAATTAATTTTTATTCTTTTTCTACACTCCTTAATAATTTTCCTGAAGGCTGCATCTCGGGGCATTCTGAACGTTCAGTCTGTGGAAGAAAAGAGAAAGAAAAAGGAAAAAATAGAAAGAGAAATGGCTGCATCTGTACCCCCACCAGAAGGTGGCCTTAGGGTAAGTATTAAAATTTACTTAAGGTTTGATTTACCTGGAATTTTTCAAAACTCCAGTAGCAATCTGTTCAATAATTTCCTCGGGAACTGGATTGTCAGAAAATTGTGAATTAATTTAAAAGCATGAACAATATAGATTGGAAGAAGTGTCAGCTTATTTGGACATTCCAACATTCATTGGAATAGATTTGCTTTCTTTTTCCCAAAATGAAAATAGACTTTTCCTGTTTATCTCAACCCTATATCATAATACTTCATACTTATATGATTAATGGCAATCTTAAATGTGTAGAAAACTTAAGCAAAATGGAAGGACACAAAGAAGAAAGTAAAAATCACCCAAATTCAGTGTCATTTTGACAGACATCATTTCTAATCTCATTTTATACTTCAATCTTAGAAAATTGGATTATACTGTAAACTACTTCAAACTCTTTGAGTTTTTTTCACTAAATGATTTGAGATTTTGAGCTTCCCATTGTCACTCATTATCATAGTTACGTTAATGTTAATTTGGACAATAGGGTGTACACAGGTGAGTCTGACACATGCCCATCCCAATAGCAGCAGTTGTAGCTCTTCACACTAGAAATATAATGATGGACAAGTTAAACAACGTCCCTGAACTTGGGGATCTTTACAGTCTTGCAGGATTATAAAGGTTTTCTTTTACATGTTAAAGCTCAGGAGGCAAATGGTTCAGATATTAAGATTTTCTTCTTCCATTTTTAAAGGAAATACATTTCTCAAGGGTATTTGTGAAAAGGACAATGTCCTGAGTTTCATTTATATTTAATTTGTCAGTGATTTATGAGCACTTGTTTAGCTGATTCTCTGTCTTCTCCATTTGGTTTGGTTTTTGCTCTCAAAACTATCTGTATAAATACATATATGTACGTACCACCCCAAGTTGTAGGGCAGGCAGTTCAGGAGCATCCTGAGCAGACATGATTCTGACTCAGGAATATCACATAGCAATAAGATTTATCTGTGTGCATTTTATCGTTATATGTTTCTTCATCTAATCTCATTTAATAAATGAAATTAAAAGAAAATAATTTTTTATAGTTAACTTTTAACAATATATAAAATAATTGGTTTTGATATTAAGGTAAATAACTGACCATTGTGTTTGTTTGTTTGTTTATTTATTTATTTTTTAATATACCCCCATAATAGAATAGAATAAATGTAAAGTAAAACAGTTGGAAGATACAAGGTCAGATATTTATCAGAAGTATAGATGCTTACTTTCAATATTCTGTTGAGATAAAGATCTGTGTCACCAGGTTTACTTCATATAGAGTTCTCAAAGACAAAGAATTTGTGAAAATTAAATTATGGAACTGAAAATGATGCTGAGATCAACTATTTCGTAGTAGAAGAAAAAGAAGTTCTGAATGACTTGAAGTCACATATAATGTTACAAAAGGGATACTTTATGTATAGTCAGAAGGTACTTATTTAACATGTTGTAACCTAACAAATTTAACATCAGCTTTTGAACTCTTAAGGGAGAAAGGGGCTTTCTTAATTAAACCCAAAGCTTCTGTGCCCTGAAGCCTATAGATTAAAAATAAATTAGGCCCTATATTTCTTCTTGTCCCTTCAGAAGTGCTCAAAATGAAAAACATCTCAGTGTTAAATTTAGTACCTTTTTTCTCTGACCACCTGCATTGCTCATTGAGAGCATAAAGTGAAGTTCAAAATAAATTTTTGGAGTAACTTTAAAGAGTAACTTTAATGCTCAAACCCTTTGGCCTAGGCTCTTTTAGGGGCTGCTGTCAGGCCTGTTCTACAGGCTGGCCTTGAGTGTTCTGTGGTATAGCTAGATTCTTCCTAACCCGACTTCACAGTATGAGGAAAACATGTCCTTCCCTGTGTTCATGCCCTCCACATATTCATCTCCTGACTAGCTGCCTCTTCCTGGGACACTTGGCATTGGCCATGCTCACTGTGTTCTGGAAAGGCAGAACTTATTTTACGAAGTCAGTGTGATGATAGCATCAGGACACAAACTAGCATCAGTTCAGGATATACTAGTAGAGGAGTGGTGGCAGATGTCTAGAGCAGTGGCTCATGAGGAGCTTTCAAAAAAGACTGAACCTTGGGTCTGACCTTATATCAATCAGAATCTCTGAGAGTGGGACTTAGCCATCAGGATTTTTAAGCTCCCCAAGGAGTCTGATGTCAAACCAGATTGAGAATCACTGCTCTAGTGTTTGTAACACTAGTCCTAAGAGATATTTTGTGGAAAATAGAATCCCATGGTAAAAATGTTTAAAAATCCTGAATATTGTGTTATATATTGAATTCCTTTCTTAGAGATTAAAAAAGGCACACTATTTAAGTCTGTAAGAAGTTCTAAAATAAAGAAAAGCAAGTTTACTTGGATTAATCCTTAATTTTCAAACTTTAAGTAAAGATTTTTTAAAAATATGTTAAAAAAAAATTCCTTGAATGTACTTGGAAAACACTGCTTTAGAGCCTGGTAAATATCTCTGGTAATATCCCAATGGCTTTTTCAGAACTTACTATTGCAGATTTAATAAACTTGATAAACTTAATAAACAGAACACCAAATGGAATAGTTTCTCAAGTTAAGCAAGGAAAAGACTTTGCCAGACCATTATTTAATAATTTCTACCGTTTCTTCGCTCCCCTGCCTCAAACAAGAATTTCTTTATTTTTATTTTGTAGTTTCATTGTTGTTCTTGTTTTGTGATGTTTTGTTTTTCTTTTACTGATTATCAGGTATTTGGGAATCTAGCTACCACTCATTAATCTGCCCAGATATTTTGTTTTATTTCTTTATATTTTTATACCATCATGTATCTTATTTCATACTATAATGTAAAATTTTACTAATCACTGCTACTCACAAAGATCATTTTACATTTGTATAGCCTATATTTCTCTCTTATCTGTTTGTTCACTAGAGTATAGTAACATAACTTTAAACAAAATTTACTTTTCTCTATATTTTTATCTTTTCTAGTGGACAGTTTCATAAAGCATAACACGAGTGGAAGAGTCTACTGCCAATAATTAATATCTGCAGTCAAGCGGACATCCTCAATTTAATTTCTTCTCTTTGAATAAATGAAGATTCAGACTTCGTAATTTTAGTGCTCTTAAATGCAGTGCTTTTTCAAAATTGAATATTGAAAATGCTTTTGATTGTTAGACTTAGAAAATGGCCAGACCTTTCATTAAATATTTATTTTCCCTACATTTTCTCTTCTGCAGACAGTGGGTGATTTGCCGTTTTTTAGTAGTTAAAACATGGGACTAAATAGTGAATATATATTTATATATTGCATGGAAAAATTCTGCATACATCTCAGATATTAAAGTTTGCACTTGTATTTTCCCTCCTTTATAAAATGACCTAGCTATTTATAGTTTGCCGATTAACCTTATATCTCTTTATTTCATTATATGTGAAGACTTTTGCTTAAACTTATGGACTTAGTGCCTTTAAACTGATCATCAGGGAAAATCTTGAAAAATCATTTGAAGGGCTTATATGAAGGAACACTGTAAATTTTTATAACTTACTAAGAAATTAATATTTGTAGAAAACATTGAATTTCCCCTAATTTATTTTCTACTTCTGTAGCTTATAAAATTAACATACTGTGTTTTACATTATAATACTTTTTGGATTTTTTTTGCTTGCTGAGTTTAAAATTATATATTAGTGGTACCATCAGAGGGCAGTGATGTACTATTATACAGTATCAGATTCAGCTCTATAAAGATCTTTGCAGTAATTGAATGAGTTAAACTAAGAATCTGGATGGGTTAAATATAACAAAGTATAGTGGTAATGTGTTTGTCCACATTTCATAGGTGTTTTTATTCTTTTGTATTTATTAAAGAACGATCATAAGATTTATATAGATGTCAAATTACCAAGGCAAGTATGAATATATGAAAGAGGAATATGTAAGTACTGTATTTAAAAAGGTCTACTTTAAACATAAAAATATTGTGAGGTAATTCTATATGATACATTGCCATAAACTGTGTAGATTTTTGTTCATTTGTAACATGTATTATAACATATTTGGTTTTTTGAGTTTTTTAATATATAATAAGCTAAAATAGAAGAATTGCTGTGTCTTTTAATTTGGTTGCTCTTTTGGATGACAAGGCCACAGTCTGAGCCCTAAATTAGAATTTTCAAATATCAAGTACAATAGGGACTGCAAATTAAATAGACCAGCTCATTTGATTTACAGAAAGGAAACTGAACCACTATCTCGCTCTTCCTTCCCACAAATCTTGTGTTATGTTGCAGTATGTTATATATGTTAATTTTAAAGAGTTTGAACTAGAATATAGATCTCTTGACTCCTCACTGGAAAAATCACTTCCTTCTGTTACAGAATGAAATATCTGTGACTATCCAGGTAAGATATGTAGTTATAGACAGGTTGAATTTTAAGTTTTAGAGAATTAGTGGTATGTTTGTTCATAAAGGATAGTGAAGCCATTGAATTATATTTTAGAAATATAATTTTTGACTTTTTCAACATGATTAATTTTTCCAAGGCAGAAAAGAAAAGGAACATTAATAGATGAATGGATATAGAACCAGAGCATACTATCCTAGAACTGTGCACGTCCTTGCTTCTGTTTTAGTATGGAAAGAACAATTTTATCTGTATTACAGCTTAGAGAATTACAGCTTGGGTTAGTGTAAACAAAAGGTTTACATCTAGGGGATAATGCTCTATTTCTAATAGCAGTTTATATCCAAATACCATGCTTATTTACTGTTGAACCAAGAATGCTGTGCTGATGAATTGCTTTCTAGGAACAGTGGGATACGCTATTCCCGCCAATCATGGCCTGCCTCCATGGGTGTGATCGTGTTTCCTCAAAACCACATGGGTTGCATGGGCTAAGGGGTGATACTCAATGTTAGGAATAGTGTTAGGAAGGGGAAGGAAAAAGGAGAGACTGGATGCTTGATAGGAAACCAATAAGTGACTACTTAAAAAAAAAAATGTATACACACATACACATATTCCAGGAATCTTCCTCAAAGTTATGAATCAGTTCCTGATGAAAACTTAGCCTAGAGCCAGTTTCCCATAATTCATAATTTAAATAGGAAAGCATTATAATGATTGATATGTCACCCAAACTCCCCAACCAAATTACTAAAATAAAACCAAACAGTAAAATGCTTATATGTAACTATCATGTTGAGATATAAAATGCTTAAATCACTACGTCTTCATTCTAATCATTAAACTATTACTATGGTAACAAAGAGTTGTATATTACCACACAGCCCCTTTGCTAACGTGCTGCATGTTTTTTAAAACATCTGTATGTGATACTTTTGTTCCACTGATTGGAATGTAATTAATAGTTTTGTTATAAATGCTGTACTGCCTTACAGGGTACAAATATACATTTTCCTATATAAGAAATTGGCTTTGGCCATCTGTTTAACAAAAATTTATCTTTACTACATCTTAAATAATTTATAGGTAAGCATGTTTCTTTTCCAAAAAGAAATGCTGTTGGGCTTCCTTGGTGGCGCAGTGGTTGAGAGTCCGCCTGCCGATGCAGGGGACACGGGTTTGTGCCCTGGTCTGGGAGGATCCCACATGCCGCGGAGCGGCAAAAAAAGAAATGCTATTATTAGTCTGGATTTTTCTTAGAGAAATACTATAGTAAAGGTTCTAACTATCATCCTTGGTACCTCAGAAGAATTGGCATAAGATATGAATTTTCTTTTTCTGCTCCAACATTTCAACTTGTTTATTTTCACTGATAAGAATTATGCTCTGCCCTTAGAAGAAAAGGTAACCCTTGTCAGTTTTAGATTTGAATAATATCTGCATAAACAGATCAGTAAGAGGTAGGTAGATATGTATACCTATCTGGGTTGATATTTAAGGTATTTAAGGTATTCCTTTAACATCTCCAAGCAAGCATGTCAAATGCCCATGATTACTGTATGTACTTTAAGTTGATTGAGATGTGGTAGTTTTCTCTTTCTCAAAAGCCACTGAAACCGTCCATTTGCATATATAGCAGACTTTGAAACTAAGGTGATTAGCAAGGTTGCAGAATACCAAATCATTATATGGAAAAAATCATTTCTGTCTTTATATGCAAGTAATGAACAATCTGAAAATTAAAACAATATCAATCATACAGTATCATCACATAGGATAAAATACTTAGGAAAAAAGAAAAAGGTAAAAGATCTGAAGTAAAAACCACAAAACTGCTGAGAAAAAAAATTTTTTTAAATATATGAATGGTGAGACATTCATGTTCATGGATTGGTGGACACAGTGTTGTCAAGATGGCATTCTTAAATTGATCAATAAATTAAATGAAACATCCTAGCAAACTCTGGCAGAGAAATTGACAAAACAATCTAAAATTTATATGGGAAATGCAAGATCTATGATAGCCAAAACAAGTTTGAAAAAAGAACCTAGTGATTTTCACTAAGTCAATGAGTAAGAGCCATCTACACTTAGTCCTTTCCTTCTGAATATAGTCTCACTTTTCCATATTCTTTTTCAGTGCCATTCAGCTAGCAGCTAGACCCCAATGTCAATTGTGACCATGTCCTTAGCTCCATTTAAAAAGGCCATCATAGGGCTTCCCTGGTGGCGCAGTGGTTAAGAATCCGCCTGCCAATGCAGGGGACACGGGTTCGAGCCCTGGTCCAGGAAGATCCCACATGACGCGGAGCAAGTAGGCCCATGCACCACAACGGGAGAGGCCACCACAGTGAGAAGCCCGTGCACCACAACGGGGAGTGGCCCCCGCTCGCTGCAACTGGAGAAAGCCCATGCGCAGCAACTAAGACCCAACACAGCCAAAGGTAATAAATAAATAAATAAATTTTAAAAAGACCATCATAAGATGTGTAGGCAGAAAGAATAACGCCACCCTCCCCAAAAGGTGGTCCCATCCTAATCCCTGGAATCTGGAAATATGTTATATAACACAGCAAAAGGTATTTTGCAGATGTGATTCAGTTAATGACATTAAAATGGGGAGATTATACTGGATTATCCAGGTGGACCGAATCTAACCATATGGATCCTTAAAAGCAAAGAACCTTTCCAACCTGTGGTCAAAGAAATGTAAACAAAGAAGCAGCATCACTGCAGTACTCTATTGCTGGCTTTGAAGATAGAGGAAGGGAGGACATGTACCAAGGAGATCAGACAGCCTCTAGAAGGTGGAAAAGGCAAAGGAACGGATTCTCTCCTAGACTCCTCAGAAGGGAACATAGCCCTGCTGACATATTGATTTTACCCCATTGAGATCATCTCAAACTTCTGACCTACAAAACTATAACATAATAAATTTGAGTTGTTTAAGCTACTAAGTTTCTGGTAAGTTGTTACATCAGGAATAGAAAACTAAAATAGTAACTAAATTAATTAAATTAACTTTAATTATTAAAGACATAAATGTTTAGGAGAAAAATTTAAGCACAGTAAAAGTTTTGATGGAAATACTGCTGATTACTATACAGAGAAATTCAGTGTTAATATTAGTTGAGGAACATAAAAGTCAAATCACTCGGGACTTTCCTGGGGGTACAGTGGTAAAGAATCCACACTGCAATGCGGGATGGGGTTCGATCCCTGGTCAGGGAACTAAGATCCCACATGGCAACTGCGTGCCACAACTACTAAGCTCATGTGCCTCAACTACAGAGCCCACGCACCCTGGAGCCTGTGCACCACAACTAGAGGAAATCCACAGGCCACCACTAGAGACAAGCCCACGCACCACAATGAAAATCCCATGTGCCTCAACAAAGATCCCATGAGCTGCAACTAAGACCCAAAGCAGCCAAAAACAAATTAAATAAATAAATCTTTTAAAAAAATCAAATCACTTGTATTTTAAAAGATATAACAATAGGGCTTCCCCGGTGGCACAGTGGTTAAGAATCTGCCTGCCAATGCAGGGGACATGGGTTTGAGCCGTGGTCCAGGAAGATCCCACATGCCGAGGAGCAACTAAGCCCGTGCGCCACAACTACTGTGCGTGCGCTCTAGAGCCCGCGAGCCACAACTACTGAGCCCACGTGCCACAACTACTGAAGCCTGCGTGCCTAGAGCCTGTGCTCCACAAGAAGAGAAGCCACTGCAATGAGAAGCCCGTGCACCACAAGAAGAGTAGTCCCCGCTCGCCACAACTAGAGAAAGCCTGCGCACAGCAACAAAGACCCAATGCAGCCAAAAATAAAATTAATTAATAAATAAAAAGATATAACAATAATCACTATTCCAAGATGATTTTATTTTCTACAAAACTTTAGTTTTTTTCCATAATGATTATCATGACTTCCAGCACCACCAAATTATACCACGCCTGTTGTTTTTAAAAGGTTATGTCTGAGATTGGTTCAAGATTATGGAGTAGAAGGACATGCACTCACTCCCTTGTGAGAGCACCGGAATCACAACTAACTGCTGAACAATCATTGACAGGAAGACACTGGAACTCACCAAAAAAGATATCCCACATCCAAAGACAAAGGAGAAGCCGCAATGAGATGGTAGGAGGGGCGCAATCACAATAAAATCAAATCCCATAACCGCTGGGTGGGTGACTCACAAACTGGAGAACAATTATACCACAGAAGCCCACCCACTGGAGTGAAAGTTCTGAGCACAACGTCAGGCTTCCCAACCTGGGGGTCTGGCAATGGTAGGAGGAATTCCCATAGAATCAGACTTTGAAGGCTAGCAGGATTTGATTGCAGGATTTTGGCAGGACTGGGGGAAACAGAGACTCCACTCTTGGAGGGCACACACAAAGTAGTGTGCACATCAGGACCCGGGGAAAGGAACAGTGACCCCATAGGAGACTGAACCAGACCTACCTGCTAGTGTTGGAGGGTCTCCTGCAGAGGTGGGGGCAGTTGTGGCTCACTGTGGGGACAAGGACACTGGCAGCAGAAGTTCTGGGACGTACTCCTTGGCATGAGCCCTCCCAGAGTCCGACATTAGCCCCACCAAAGAGCCCGTAGCCTTCAGTGCTGGGTTGCCTCAGGCCAAACACCAAACAGGGAGGGAACTCAGCCCCACCCATCAGGAGACAAAAA